CTTATTAGATTACTAGAATATAAATTCTACCAGGGCCGCGCCTTGCCTCTCTTATTCACCCCGGGACGCCCGCTCCTGGCACAGGGCTTGGCATAAGGTGGGCGCTTTGCTTTTACTTGCTGAAAGTTACGCGTCAAACTCCCCTGGGCTAGAGCGCAGGAATGAAAGGACCGCATCTGCCCATCAGCCAATTAGCGAGGGGCAATATTTGCCTGTTGCCTTACTATTGGTGAGATCCAGGGTCCTGGTTTTCTTCTGGCCAATGAGGTGAGGGCCACGGTATCGGCCTCTGTGGCCACACCCACCCGGCCCGGAGACGGGTGGGAGTGGGGTTGCGGGAAGCGGACTACTCGCTTCCTGGGGGCCTCTTCACTTCCCAGACCCGTCTTCCTTCTCCCACTTAGGCTGGCACACAGTGTGGTCACTGGCAAGTGAGGCTCCACCTGTTACACCTGAGCACTCAGAGTAGGGAGGGGCTGATTTTAAAGACAAGGGCTGTGAAAGGCCGGGACGGCAGATGACCCACACCGTATAATCAGACCCTGGGACAAGTCGGCCTTTCCCGGGGATCTCATCTCAGACCCTGCTCTTGGGAGCCTGAGCAGGCAGGTGCAGTGGGCCGGAGACCACGCAGCACCCATTCCTGGTTCACACCCGCAGAGTCCAGGGGAATCTGGGTGCCCATGAAGAAAGCCAGCAGAGTAGACCAGCTGCACATTGAAAACCAAGCAGAACTTGGCCAGAGCTCTCCAGCTATCTTCCTTAACCCCTCTGGACCTCAGTCTCCTCTATAAAGTGGGAAGGCTAATAGGTACCTCAACGTACTGGCACATTGTATATGCAAAATTCATGGGGCACAGTAAAGGAGTCAAGAAAAGGTAGAAATATTTTTATCACGGAATCAAAGTGAAACAAACTGTTTCACAGGAAGATCCCTACCTATCCACCCCACCATTCCAGAACTTGGAAAAGCCCGATGAACAAGTTCAATTCTCTAGTGGCCATAAATCTACTTCCCTCGCCCAAGAAATGGCCCAGTTTCCCTTGAACCAAATCTTACTTTTGCTGTTCCGTTATTTCAGGCAATCCAGATTTTCTGGGAAAGCATTAATTGCAAACAACCAATCAGTTCATCTTCTGTAGCACAGTCATTTATATTTGCACTGAATTTATAGTTCCTTCCATCTAAAGGTCATTGTTTTCAACAAAGATAATGTATTAAATGTACAGAGAAATTGAGTTGAATTTTAATACTTGATAAGCCTATTATTATTTTTATTATTATTATTATTATTATTATTATTTTTGCTGTGCAAAGTATCCAACACAGGGTCTCATTCATGTTAGCCAAACACATCCCCAGCCCTTTGAGATTCTTTTGTTGGATGAAAAATGGCTTATACTATGCATCCTAGTTCTGATTCAGAAATATAAGCCCTTTCCCTGTCCCCTGCACATGAGCCCAGGATTTGATGTGAATACATAAGTTCCAAGGGCTCTCCCATCTTGCTGGTGTCTGCTCTCTCGTTGGTCAGCACTGAGACCTGGAATCATGATTCCTAGGATCAAGCGTGGACTTTGGGTACAGAGACTCAAGTTGAATTCAAATTCTGTTCTGTTTTTAGCTGTGTGACCCCAGAGCCTTTGTGCTTACATGCTTCACTACCTTCCCAGGGGACGTGGCACAGGTGACACACTCCCTACCACAGGCTTCTTCTCAGGAGCAATGTCAGCTCCTCAGAAGGAGTTGCCCAGGCCACTTCCCAACCGGCTCCCGCTCTCCTCACACCAGCCCATCTGGGTCCCTCCGTAATTCCTCAGCGTGTCGCTTTGGTTTTCCAGTCTTCAAAGGCAGGGACTTGGTGTCATGCAGGCTTTCGTGATGGAGGCATGTGAGGACCTTGGCCAGCCACATTACTCGGGGCCTCAGATTTCTCAACTGTGAGATCTGCATGAGGGCTAAAGGGGACAATGACATCCACAGTTCTCTGTGCCCTTGCTTCTGGAGGTCTGTCTAGATGGGACGCATGAGCCAGGACTTGTCAGGGTCACAGGCTGAGGCAGTTCCCATGCTGCCCCATCTCTCTCTCCTCCAAGTTCTCAAGGACGCCTACCGTCTTTCCTTTCCTCCTCGCCCCATCCTCACCAGCATTTCTGGAGGGTTTTTCTGGGAAGGGGCTGAGGTGTGAATCCCTTGGAGGCCAGCAAGCGCCAGTGGTCAGAGCTGCAAAGACAGCTCAGCTTTACTCACCCCTCCCAAGGGCTCCCCAAGTCAGAGTAAACCCTTTGAAAGGCGGGGGTGGGGTGGGGGGTGGACAGGAACAACTGCCAGAGGCCAAAGCCCACATTTCCCATTTCCCGTATTGGGTGGGTTCCATTCACTGGGCTCAGGTCCCCCTTCTGCATCTCCTCCTCTGACCCAAGTCTAGGCCAAGTCCTCCTGCAAAAATCGGCTTCTGATTCTCCCTCCCCAAGCCCAGCTCCCCAGGACCCACTTACAGACAGCCTTAAAGGCTTTGTTAGGCCAGTGTGGTCTGCCCCCCTTCACCTCCAGCTCTCTGGGCAACCTCAGACACAACCATTCATTCATCTAATTTATAAAATTGAACACTGTAGGGTAAGAAGGGCTTTCTCAGCCCCCCTAGAGTTCCTGGCTAGGTCTGAAATAAAACTGACAAAGACAGACGGATGGGAGAAAAGCATAACGAATTCATTTCATCCGTTTTATGTGACATAGGCGCCTTCAGAATGAAGACCCAAAGACCTGGGGTGAACTATGCATTCTGCTTAGGTTTTAAAAAAGCATCAAATCATAGAAATATGATGGGACAAAAGGGTGTGATTTAATGGGGAGACTCAGTGGGACCCAGTGGACACCCAGCAAGGCCTGTCTGTTCCCACTTGGCCTCTCATCTGGGAGGACGGTCTTGTGACCTACCACCAATTATAGGTCAAAGAATTTCTCTCTGGCAGCTCTTACACAGAAAGGAGTGGGGTCTACAGTTATATTTCCAGGTTTTATGAGTTGCTTTGAGGAAGGGCATTGGGGAAGAGGAATTCTAGTTTCCAAGGTCCACCTTAGTGGGAAAGGGGAGAAGGAAAAAGGAGGACAGGAAGTCAGAAAGACCTCCCTTGGTGCCCTCTCAGGTTTCCTTCAGCCTAGGTGCCATACTGTGGGGTACCTGCTTTGAGCCCTAACGCCTGCTAGGTACCAGTTACTCTTCTAGGCCTCAGGGGATTCACCAATCAACCAAACAGATGAAATTCCTCAAGGTGGATAGAGGTCACTCGCCAAGGCGACAGCCCAAGTTCCTAGGGGAGCAGACATTCTTCAGGGTAGAGAGACAAAGAACATAATGAATCAAAGAAAAACATAGAATGGAGAGAAGTTTAAGGAGAAAATCCAGCAGACACAGTGGTGGGGAGCCCATGGTGTGGTATTCACTTCCTGCCTACCAGGTTCCACTTCCTCTTTGGTCTCAAGGCCACACAATTTAGAAAGCAGTGAATCCAGTGCGTGCACCCAGGTCAAATCCATGTCTTTAAAAAGTGACTCTTGGGGCTGGCATGTAGCTCTGTGGTGAAGCTCTTGCCTAGCAGGGTTCAATCCCCAGCACCACAAAAGAATTAAAAAATTTAAAAAGACTTCTCACCGCGTGGATGGGCCTCTAAATCCAAGTGGTAAATGTGGTTTGCCTTTTATTTCAGTAATAATTCATTTCAATAATCAAACAAACAAAAAAGATTCCACGTGCATATTACGTTACAGCTTTTATTGAGGGATGCAATAAATAAACGTATTCCTTTCTTACAAAATTTTAATGGCCTGAGGAGAGAATTTAGCGTACCCGTCAGCTGAATGGTTGAATTTAGGGGAAAAACTGATCCGGATGAGGTCACTGCGGTTCTGCAAGGTGAATCGAGGTCACTCGCCAAGGCGACAGCCCAAGCAGAACCGGATTCGCCAGATTCCCTAGTCGTGCCTTAACCCTTCCCGGCACCGGGCCGCTGGACAGGGCACTCAGGGCAGGTTTCCCGGAATGTCGCCAGGGGGAGACCGAGAGCAATTTACCAGCCCCGCGGGGCGTGAGGTCCCCAGGCCGGGGAGGACAGGGCAGGCGAGGGAGGGCTTTGGTAGACCAGAGGCTAGGATGTCTGTCCTCCTACTCTCCTATTTGCAGGAAGGTTCCCACCAGTATCTTCTTCGCCCTGTTGCCGCCTGGGCCTCTCAAAAATCTGACTTCGTCACCACCCCTAAGGCTGTTGAACACCTCCAACACAGCTTTCAGGAGGAAAAAAAAAAAGCCGACCACGGGATCTGCGTGACCTTGCCCGTCTTCCCCAGACGCCGCTGGAGCCGCACTGAAATTCTTCCAATTCCTTGAATTCCCCTTACTCTTTCTCCCTGAATATCCTTTTCACACCAGGTCTACCTGGGGAAACCCGACTGTTTTCAGCTAAACGTCACCTCTGTGAGTCCTCCCCTGGCAAGATCCCCGGCCCCGCGCCCCACACCACCCCCTGTTTGGGGAAGTGGCCACTCCTGTGTTGCCATTATTCCTTGGGCTTTCGCCACCATCGCGCGTGACAAATATCTGGCCCTATCTTTCTCCTCCAATGCCTATCACGGAACAAAACAAATGCAGTGAGTTCATTAAACGTTGGCAAGCTGAATGCAAGAGGCAGGACAAGGGATCAAGCTGTCACCGGGACCTCTGGCAAACCACCTGGCTCTCGGGTTTGCTGTGAGGAGTAATGGACTAATGTGAGTGTGTGTGTGTATGTACATATATACATAAACACACAATATACATACACACACACACACTTATGCTTATTGTGCTTAGAGCAATGCCTGGAACACCGTAAGCAGTTACTTTCGTCATTTTCACAGCGGCCAATATGGGTTATTGCCCTTTTAAGGCTACCCTCCCAACTTCACGTCTAAACGGAAGTACCCCTAGGGCTCCGGAAGTGACCTCAGAGCCCCTCAGAAACATGGCCCCGGAGCGCCCTTCCGGAAGCGGTCACAAGTAGCTCCGTGACGCAGAACGAGTTAGAGCGTCCCGTAGGGTTTCCATGGTGTTGCCCTCAGCACCCTGTCTCTCCGCTTCCTCTCCCGCCTGAACACCGGGAACGGGAAGGCAGGCGGCGGGTCCTTCCCAGCACCGCCTCCCCGTCTGGGGGAGGGGTTGGACGAGCGGGTGACGCTCTGGGCGAGCTCGTTCGCCTCTCTATGGTGCCCAGCTCTCCTGCGCGCCGCTCCAGCGCGTTGGAGCGGACGCTGCCCCTTTAATCGACAGAGGGCGGTGCCGAGGAGGTCCCGCGAGAGCTGCGGGGGGCGGGGGGCGGTGCCGAGCCGGGGGCCCGTGGCGGATGGAGCCAGCGATGGAGCCGGAGACTCTGGAGGCGCGAATCAGTGAGTGTCCGGGAGGGGCGCGGGCCGGACCGGAACCGGAACCGGGGGCGCGAGGCAGGCCCCTTCCCGGCGGGGGCGGGGTACGCGGCGCCCCCTCCTCACGCCCCGCCCCCGGCTCGGGAGGGGCGGTGTCCCGAGTCGGCCCCTCCGACCCTGACCTGCGGGAAGACCCCGCGGGCTGCGCCGCCGCGCGGTGGCAGCGGGCACCGCCCACCCACCCATGCCGGGGCCTGGACCCCGGGCCGGGAGTGAGCTGCGCCCGAACCCCCGGGACGGAGGGCAGCCTTCAGCCCCCTCAGGCCCGGGCTGCTCCGCCGAAGAGCAGGCCCCCGAGTCTTCGCTTGGGCCCAGGGAGGGAGCGAACGAGCGGTCCCCAGGGCTGCATCTCAGACCCCGAAAGGACGCACCCTTCTCAGGCCCCTTTCACTCTAGGGCCCTGGGTGGAGCGGTACCCTCCTGTCCATCCTGGATCTTGCAACTACTCTCAGATTTGCTCTTTCCCCGTCCAGACGGGGACAGTCAGGATTCCCCCGCGGTCCCCACCGTGAGGAACCCCCAAGACCTACATGCTTGGAGGGTCCGGTCCCAGGCTCCATAAGTAAATCCAAGTTCGCTGTCACTGCCCCCAGCCCGGTCCTCTTACTCTGCATCTCCGTCCACGATTGCTTTTCCAGCTCTTGCCGAGCTTCCTCCAAAGGCCTCTGCACCTTTTCCCAGTCTGTCCCCAGAGACAGCGTCCTGTTCAGGCTTCTGAACCCCCACGCCCTCCAGCTGAGCTGCCTGTCCTGCAATGCTGAGGATCCTCAGCCCTCACTATCCCCTTCCTAGACTCTGCCCTCCGAAAGCCATGATTTGCTTCTCACTGGTCTAGTGACAGCTCTCTTCCAAGGTTTTTCCTCCTTTGACCCCTTCACTGGGCCAGGTCTGCAGGGAAGCCTCTTGGGCCCGGACATACCAGGGAGCTTTGCAGGGTGGTTTGGGGTCGTGACCAGCCCTTTTTAAGCCATTCTTGAGCAGAGTTGAACTCTGAGTTGGCCTTGGAACCACGCCATCCCCAGGGATGTGTCAATCAGTCTGGCCAGTGTGGGGAATGTGGTGGGTAAAAAGGAGGCACTCAGAGACCATTGACTGTTCCAGAATGCTACAAGTGTCCAGGTCTCAGCAGCAACTCGGAGGGTTGGGTTGGGCCCTGGTTGACTGATTTCAGGCTGATTGCAAACTTTTTAAGTTCTTTTTTAAAGTATTTATTTTATAGTTGTAGTTGTCAATACCTTTATTTTATTTCTTTATTTTTATGTGGTGCTGAGGATCGAACCCAGGGCCTCGCACGTGCTAGGTGAGCGCTCTACCACTGAGCCACCACCCCAGCCCCAAGACAGTTTTTAAGTCTGAGTGATGCACAACAGTCTCAGGTGTAGCTCAGGGGTAGAGCCTGGCCTGGCATGCACCGTCCCTGCATGGTGGGTTGGGGGCTCAGCTGGAGGGACAGATTTAGCAACAGTGGGAATTTTCAGAGAGGCCAGAGTCCAGAAACAGGCAGAAGTTGGGGACACCTGGGTTTGACTAGTTCTGGATAAATTAGGGCTGAGATTGTTTTCTCTTTTTCTTTCCCTTTGAATCCTAGCAAAATTTTGAGCTTTTCCTTAGTGGCGGTTGGAGGTAAATAATGATATTGTCACCACTTTGGAGTGACAGGGTGGAGTTGCACCCTGTTGTGAAACCCACCCTCCCTCCCTCCTCTCCCAAGGCGCTCTCCCCTGCTGCCTGCCAGGGAAGGTCTTGCCCAGATAGAGTTGAGAGGGCCAGGGCAGTGGGTCAGGTTTTCTTGGACTTTAAGCCCCATGAAGGGGAGAGCCGGTGGCCTGTAAGACCCACGCTTCCTCCACAAGTTGTTTCCAGAATCAGTGATAGTGTCCTTATTCCGGCTCACATGTCCTTGACACTTGAGACTTCCTATTTTGCCCACCCCACCCCCAGCTGAATGTCATCAAGTGGACAGGGCCTCCCTCCCAAGTCTTTCTTTCTGACTGGTGTTCCCCAGCCTTTGGCCATGTTGGGGGCCTGGGAGGCGGAGTATGTAGGGGAGGGCATATTCCTGGTATTTCCAGGGGTTCAGCAAGGTCTTCTGTTCCTTTAAGGGAATGGGAGGTCCTACTGGGCTCCTGAGACAGAAACTTAGACCTAGGAAGAAAATGCTTCACTTGATTCAGCCCATCTTCTCTGAGCAGTCCCAGGGAATGGCCACCCCCAGCGTCTTCTACGCCACCTTTTGCTCTTTGCTTTGTATTACCTTGCAACAGATAGTATGCAGTATCCTGTGTTTGTCTATTAGTCTTAGCATTGTGTTCCTCTTGCTGGGCCATTGGCCGCAGGAGGCAGGCGTTTAATCTTGTTTGCTGCACTAGGCGCAGCACCCCAGGCTTACTGAATAGATATGCCCTGAGTGGATGGCTGTCAGGCACTGGGACCCCAGGCTCTGGCCCCCTGCCACAGCATAGGGCCCCGGGACAGGCGCCACATGCTGGGTCCCCAACTTCCTCCTCTATAGATCCTTCTGTGTCCCACCTCCTGGGCTCTGTTCCCTCCACACCCAGCTCAGTGTCCAGATGTGGGCAGAACTGGCTGGGAACAGGTGAAGCTCAGAGACGGGCTGTGAGGAGCGAGGGTCCCCCTCCGTCTCCCCAGGGCCTTGCCATGCACAAAGCGTTTTGTCATCTTAAATTAGTCCCTGTTTCTTTTCTTTCTTTCTTTTTTTTTTAAAGAGAGTGTGAGAGAGAGAGAGGGAGAAGAGAGAGAGAGAGAATTTTTCAATATTTATTTTCTAGTTTTCGGCGGACACAACATCTTTGTTTGTATGTGGTGCTGAGGATCGAACCCGGGCCGCACGCATGCCAGGCGAGCGTGCTACCGCTTGAGCCACATCCCCAGCCCTAGTCCCTGTTTCATTCTGACTTTACAAGTGGGGAGTTGGAGGTCCAGGGAAGTTATGACCTACTTTGTTTCTTAAACAATGTTGGGGTCAAGGGACAAGTGTCTGGTCTTAATTCCCATCCCCTTTCTGTAGATGACCTCACCCCCACGTGCTCACAGCTGACCCCTCATTCATGGTGCATTTTCCACTGGCTGAGGGGAGAGGGGTGTACACAGTGGCTGTGACACGGGATGATAGCAGGCTTGGGTCTGCAATTCAGAGGACACAGACAAAGAACTCACCCCACACTGCTACCTGGGCAGTGGAGAGCTCAGGAGGACTGCCTGGAGGAGGTGGCGCTGAGCCACACCCCAGAGAAGGGCCAGCATGACAACAAAACCTGCTTTCCTTTCCAAGGGCCTCACACCCTCCTGTGCTCAGCTCTGTGCGTCTTCTGACTGTGAACTGGTCACAGGCCGGCCCCCAGCTCGGGTGACTCCTTCCAGTCCCTGCTGAGTGCTTCATCTTCCAGGCAGCTTCCCCTGTGCCCTGAATGCCCTGCCTCCTCATCTGGGCCCATGGCTCCTTTGCCTCCCTCTGTCAGTGACAGAACCTAGCTTCTCTTGGTCCACTGCCTGGCCACACAGCTCCTTGAGAGTGGGACCCTGGCTTCCCCGCCTCTTACTTCTGGATCTTTTCTGAGCATAAATTCCAGAAGCAGAATCAGCAGAGCTGAAGTTGGTGTGGCAGGGGTACAACTGTAAGGAAGAGGAGATAGGAGGAGGAAAGTGGCCCTGGGCAGAGCCTCCAAGAGTGGGGCCCAGTGGTGGGAAGCTGAGTGGGGGCCTGCCCAGGTCCTTACCTGTTCACCTACCGGACTGGAGCTTGGACACAGGTCTTGGGACTCTCTGGGCAGGAAGTGAAGCGAGGCCACTGCTGTGTGCTTGTCCCTCCTGCTCCCAGCATGGGGTTGGGGAGCAGGGGCTCCTCTGCCTGGCTACTCTGAGGCGCCTCTCCTCCTGCAGACAGAGCCACAAACCCCCTGAACAAGGAGCTGAACTGGGCCAGCATCAACGGCTTCTGTGAGCAGCTCAATGAGGACTTTGAGGGGTAGGTGGCCCTCTCTTACATACTCCTCAGAACACTCTGTACTTGCAGCGTGCACCTGCCTGGCCATGGGTGAAAGGACCTGCCTCCTCACTGGATGGAGCACTTCCCAGTTGGCAACAGTAGTGGGCCTTTGAGCCCAGGGCTACTTGTGTGTCGTTCTGAGTTGTGCCTCGTGGGGCCCATGTTATAGGTTAAGACCCTGAGGCTCAGGGGATGAGCAGTTGGCCCCAAGATCTGATCGGGAGGCAAGGGCACTGGGCCTCCCCTCCCCCCCCCCACCCCCCCCCACCCCGCTGGTGGAGGGCCACATGCTCCCCAGCAGACTTTTTGCTCAAGGAAGAACCATACCCACCTCGTAGAGCCACCTGGCGTGCCTGTCAGGACACACATTCTTGGGCTGCCTGAGCTTAGCTGTTGGCAGGGGCTGAGGGGTGGGCATTCTTTTTTGTGGTACTGGGGATTAAGACCAGGAACCCTTTACCACTGAGCTATATCCCCAGGCTTTTGAAAAATTTCGTTTTGACAACAGGATTTTGCTAAGTTACTGAGGCTGGCCTTAAATGTGGGATCCTCAGCCGAGCGTGGTGGCCCATGCCTGTAATCCCAGTGGCTTAGGAGGCTGAGGCAGGAGGATCCCGAGTTCAAAGCCAGCCTCAGCAAAAGCAAGGTGCTAAGCAACTCAGTGAGGCCCTGTCCCCAAATAAAATACAAAATAGGACTGGGGGTATGGCTCAGTAGCTGGGTGCCCCCAAGTTCAATCCCCAGGACCCGCCCCCCACAAAAAAAGTGTGGGATCCTCCTGCACCTCAGCCTCCTGAGTCAGTGGGGCTCTAACTGGAAATGTGTGTCCCTACAGGCTCCTCTGGGGGGCTGAGACAGGGACACAGCCCTGTGTGCTTCTTCTCTGCCCCACTTTCACCAGGGCCAGGGCTGCCTGGGGGCGAATCCCACCCTCTCTCTGCTGATTGACCTCTGAGCTCAGTTTCTTCAGCTGTCAGGTGGGAATGATGGTGCTGCCCACCTGGGGGGTGCCGAAGGCTCCCTGGCCACCTCATGAGGCTCAGGTGGGAAAGCGCATGAGGCGCTCTGTGTCACCAGTGCTCAGCAAATACTACCTGCACTGACTCCGGCAGTCATCTTTTGTGATCTGGTTGACATTGTCACCTCCTCCACCATGAAGCTGCTCTGATTTTCCCGGCAGGAAGTCCCCTGCCATCTTGAGTCCCCAGGGAACTGCGCCTGTCACTCCTGGCACATCATTCATGGGTCACTCCCTGATGGGTCCTGAGAAGGCTCTGCTCCTCTGGCCAGGCTTGTCTCTGCAGCAAGCAGGGGACAAGACCAATTGTTTTTTTTTTTTTTTTTAAAGAGAGAGAGAGAGAGAGAGAGAATTTTTTAATATTTATTTTTTAGTTCTCTGCAGACACAACATCTTTGTTTGTATGTGGTGCTGAGGATCGAACCTGGGCCGCACGCATGCCAGGCGAGCGCGCTACCGCTTGAGCCACATCCCCAGCCCACCAATTGTATTTCTTAAAACCAGCCAAAGGCTCAGCTTGCTTTAGGGCCTGCCTGGCCCTGCCCTGCCACCACCCAGCTCCCCGTCTGATCCAGAGTGGGCCTTTGCGTATCCCTGCAGAAGCCACGAAGTGCTGAACTCCCAGCGGGCTGCCCTTTCCCTCCGCTGGGGTGACGGGACTTTATGGCAACCCTGGCTCTGTGTTGTTTCTCCCACCCAGGCCTCCACTTGCCACCCGGCTGCTGGCCCACAAGATCCAGTCCCCACAAGAGTGGGAGGCCATCCAGGCCCTGACGGTGAGAAGGGGACAGAGGGTACCGTCTGTCCCCAGCCAGGTGATGGCACCAGGGAAGGCCAGACTGAGGGTCCATCAGCTCTACTTAAGAGTTCAGGGGAGTTGTAGGTGGGGGAGAGGAAGCTTTTTTTTTATTTTAATAATTATGTATTTAATATGTGTGAGGTTTAATCCTGATTTCACAGATGTAGTTTAGAATAGTGCCAAAATAGATAATGCCAACTTAAGTTTTAACAAAGAAAAAAATTAGCAAAATTGTGTCCAAGTGATGCTGGGAGGTGGCCCCTGTGGTGAAGGGGGTCACTGCAGTGCTGCAGGTGGGGTGACCGGTCACTGTACAGCCCCTGGCCACATCCCTAGCCGGTCTGACAGTCAGACGCCTCCGAGCCACAGAATCTTGGTCTTCACGAGTGCTCACCCTGGACTCATGGGGAGTGTGGGAGACACCGCCTCCTCTGGGCCCTCACCCCCCTCCCGCCCAGGTGCTGGAGACCTGCATGAAGAGCTGCGGCAAGAGGTTCCACGATGAGGTGGGCAAGTTCCGCTTCCTGAACGAGCTCATCAAAGTCGTGTCTCCCAAGGTGGGTGCCCCAGCCTGAGCTACACATGCCGTGTCAGACAAGGGCCACAGAAGGAGGACGCCCAGACAGGCCCCCTGGCAAACCCTCAGCCCCTGTGGGAACTTGTACCCAGTAGAGGCACAGATTCTTTCTCACGGCCCCTCCCATCCGAGTCCAGTAGCTTGGAGCGTCTGAGAACACTTTCGGCTGACCGAAGGCAGGCAGCTGTGGAGCTGCTCGGTCCTCAGGGAGGGCTGGTCCCAAGGAATGGCTTGTCCTGTTCAGGCTGCCCTGGCCTCGAGATTACTCCCAGGTGCAAGCCTGGCCATGGCACCCTACGTGGCCTCTGACACACGTCAGCTTCTGGCCTTTTGCCTGAGGAGTCCTCCCCCACAGGTCATGGACGTGTTCAGTGGGGTGAGCGCCCACCTGCTTTACCATTCCTTGCTCAGACCCATCCTTTGATCAGAGCTGCTATATAATGCGGGTGGTCCCCACCCTCCTCCCACAAGACGGCTCTGGAGGTAGAGCCCCTCTGCCAGCCTGTTTGCTGTTGGAACTTTTTGCGGGGCCCAGGGCCTAGAGTGCCACACTGCTGCTTCCTGGTCAGCCTGGGAGCGTCTGGCTCCTCCTCCTTGAGATCTCAAGGTTAAGTCATCCATGAGCTGTGAGCAGGCCCTGGGCTCTGGTTTTCCTGCGTTGGCTCTCCAGCCACGCCTCTATGGGGGAAACTGAGTCACAGGGAGCTGACACATCCAGTAGGTGGCAGAGCTGGGAGGTGAGATCAGTCTGCACCAGCCTAGTGTGGCAAGGGTGTGAGGACCCCAGAGTCCAAAGGCTCCCGAGGGAGTCCTGGGAGGCCGCTGGTCCAGGTTGGGCTTGCAGTGAAGGGGGCCAGGCAGTGTCAAAGCATCCCCTCCTCGTGTCCTTTAAGTACCTGGGCTCCAGGACGTCAGAGAAGGTGAAGAACAAGATCTTGGAGCTGCTCTACAGCTGGACGGTCGGCCTGCCCGAGGAAGTGAAGATCGCAGAGGCCTACCAGATGCTGAAGAAGCAGGGTGAGGCACCCAGAGAGTGTGGGGACCAGCAGCCCTCCCCCTCCAGCAGTTTCAGGGGCTTCTGGGCCTGCAAGATTGGAAACTTTACTTTCTCAAAAACATAAAGCCAGCACATGCAGTGGCACACACCTATAACCCCAGTGGCTCAGAGGCTGAGACATGAGGATTGTAAATTCAAAGTCAGCCTCAGCAATTTAGCAAAGCCCTAAGCAATTTAGCAAGAACCTGTCTCAAAAAAAAAAAAAAAAAAAAATTAAAAGGATGTGGCTCAGTGGTTAAGCACCCATGGGTTCAATTTCTGGTACCAAAAAAAAAAAAAAAAAACCAGTCAGTGGGACCTTTCTGTGGCTTTTCTGGAGCACAGCCTGGGTGGAGAAAAGGTAGCGTTGGGTCAGGCTTCTCCTCAGAGAGTGGCCTTAAACAATGGATGGCCAAACCCTCTTTTTTTGCTGTTCAGTATGGTAGGTCCAGGGTAGACCCCAGCCCCCCAAAGTCAAGAACCAGTGTGCTAGAGAGACCAGCTTTGGCCTTCTGTCTTGTACCTTCCCATCTCGCCCTGCCCTGGGGGCTGGGATCTGCTGACAGCCTTCTGACTCCATCTACCCCAGGGATTGTGAAGTCGGACCCCAAGCTTCCCGAGGATGCCATCTTTCCCCTCCCCCCTCCACGGCCCAAGAATGTGATCTTCGAAGACGAGGAGAAGTCCAAGGTGAGACTGCAGGGAGAATCATGTGGCACCTCGGCTGGTTTGGGTCAGTGGTTTCTGTCTCCTGGCTGCCTAGGCCTTGGCCTTTGGAGCAGAGGCTTCTGCTGAGCATAGTCACTATAGAGGGTGACAGGCACTGCGTGTTGACTACTTCCCATACAGTGTCCCTGCATTTGATAAACACAGGAGTTGTCCTTGGGATTGGTTTGAGGAGTTTATATATATTTAAACCTTTTATTAACAATTTATTAGCTTTTTGTTAAAGAAGCATGCACTTGTGGATAAGACATTTAGCAGCAGAGGAAGAATATTAAGCCAAGGACTGTAACATGGAGGTGGGAGTCAACGCTGCTCTCTCCCCAGCCCCAGAGGCCACTACTGTTGAGTCTCCCACCTCCTCCTAGAAAGGTTCTCAGAAAGCCCGAGTAGCAGAAGGAGCGCTGTCTGTTGAGGACCTGCCTCTGCCAGGCTCTGTGTGCAGGGCCTCAGTAGTCTTTATGGCCCCCATCAGTATCGGTCAGTCCTCACCATCTCAGAGAGCTTTAGCCACTTGCCCAGGTCCCACACCGGGAGACGGGGAGCTGGACTGTGGCCCTTGGCCTAGTGTGGCCTCACAGTTACATGCCTGTCTCCTCAGATGCTGGCCCGCCTGCTGAAGAGCTCCCACCCCGAGGACCTCCGGGCAGCCAACAAGCTCATCAAGGAGATGGTGCAGGAGGTGACAGCTGGGCCCAGAGCCCAGGGAGGAGCCACGGTGGGAGGGAGGGTGGAGCTGGGCCACTGAACTGGGACTGTGTGTGCAGAGACAGGGGACCTGCAGTGACCCAGCTAGAGGGTTGTCTCGGCAAAGGGCTGTCACTAGGGGCCCAACATGTGGAAGGAAGAATTTCCCTGTGGTTCGACACAACGTGCCCTGGACGGACTTCTACAAAACCGGTGCCCGTTCCAAAAACATAGAAATTATTGAGAGCTGGGGGTGTGGCTCAGTGGTAGAGGGCTTGCCTGGCCTGTGTGAGTAACTGGGTTCAACTCTCAGCACCACATATAAGTAAATAAATAACATAAAGGTCCATCGACAACTAAAAAAAAAAGGTTAAGGGTCAGCCTGGTGTGGTGGTGTGTCATTATAATCCAGCCACTCAAGAGGATGACAAGTTCTAGGCCAACTGAGGCAATTCAGAGAAACCCTATCTCAAAACAAAAAAATTTAAAGAGGGCCGGGATGTAACTCAGTTAGGTCACTTGCCTAACATTCTCGAGACCCTGGATTCAATCCCCAGTATCACCAAAAGAAAAAGTGAAGGGCTCTGAGGCAGACTCCGCTGGGGCAGGAGGAGGCGACTCTGTCCCCCCGGGTCTACAGCGCTCATCCAGCTGCAGCCCCCCGTGACTGGATCACCAGATCACCAGAAAATCCTGAAATCTGGGTTTTCATTTTTTTAGTGCACTGTAGTTACACATAATAGTGGGGTTCACTTTTTCATATCCTCAGTGCACATAACAGTTTTCTCCATTTCAGCCCCCATTGTTAACTCCCTTTCTCCCCTTCTCCCTCCCCCAGAACCCTGGATGTTCGCATGAAGTCTCCCACTTCCCCACTGATAGCAGCCACTTCACAGTTAATTTTTTAAGTTTGGTCTCCACAGAAGCTGCTGGTTCCTTCTTCCTGGGAAGGGAGTCTGGTCTGGGCAGGTGGCCAGGCTTAAGCTCAGGTCTTAGATGGATTCTGCCAAGGGATCCTCTGGGGACCCTGCACAGGCTCTGGAGAGTGTGTGCCCAGAGGCTCAGAGGGCAGGACCTCGGGTCATCTTGAAGGACTGAGCCGTGTGTCCACCTTTGCCCTGCAAGGGAGGTACTTGCCCAGTCAGCAGGCAGCTTGCCTCCTGCACTAGCTCTGGTTTTGTTTCTGTTTTTTCCTTTTTTCAGTGGGGGGTGTTATTGGGGATTGAACCCAGGGGTGCTCTTCCACTGAGCTATGTCTCGGCTCTTTTTATTTTATTGTGAGACAGAGTCTCACCAAGTTGCTGAGACTGGCCTTAAACTTGCCGTCCTCCTGCCTCAGCCTCCCAAGTAACTGAGATTAGAGGTGTGTGCCACTGTGCCCAGCTCTACAGTCACCCTTAAAGGCCAAGAGCTCTGCAAACTCGGCACCACCCACTGACACTGGGAAGGGCACTGCACTCACTTCTAGGTTGGTTCGGTGACCGTGACTGACCCCCTTCACTGTCAAGTACAGGAACCTGGTTTCAAGAAACAAACACAAGGAGGGGCGGGGTTGCTTGGAACCACAGGTGTGGCTCTGAGGCCCTGGTCCTTCAGGAGCACCTGGTGAGAGCATGGGACACTGGATTCCTGGGCTCTCTCTGGAGACTCTGATGAGTTTGTGCAGAGACCTGGGCCCAGGGGGCGCTGTCAGAAGGGAAGGAAGTGACTGCAGGGGGCTTCCTGGGCCACAGCACCCTGTCCCGAGTGTTGGGTTCTGTAAGGTGTAGCAGGCCCCACCTGGAGCAGATGGCACGCTAGCCACCCCTCTGCCAGACTCCAGTGCGCACTTTCTGGGGTGGGCTGGGCAGTGCCTGGCTCCCACTGGGCCTGACAGGCTTTCGGGGTGTTGCTGCTGCTTCTCAGGACCAGAAGCGGATGGAGAAGATCTCCAAGCGGGTGAATGCCATCGAGGAGGTGAACAACAACGTGAAACTCCTGACGGAGATGGTGATGAGCCACAGCCAGGGCGGCACGGCATCCAGCAGCAGCGAGGACCTCATGAAGGTCTGTCCGCCCTTCCCCACTCCCAGACTTTTCCAAAGCCCATGTCCACCCTGACACCCCTACCCTGCTGTCCCCAGGAGCTGTACCAGCGCTGTGAGCGGATGCGGCCCACACTCTTTCGACTGGCCAGTGACACAGAAGACAATGATGAGGCCCTAGGTGAGCCCGGGGTCAGGTGCAGCCCCATCCCTGAGCCTCTTGCCCGACCTTGTCCAGGTCCTGCCAGACAAGGGCAGCTGGAAGCAGCCGCCACCAGGGGGCCTCCTCCTCCATCCTGACTGTGGTGTCTCCACTTTGAGGAAGGAGGAAGCAGAGAACAGGGCTACTGCCGGTGTCCTTAAGAGACCCTGTGAGCTAGGCCCCCTCACAGACATCTCATTTACTGCCCACAAGCTGCACATTGTCTCCTTTTCACAGCTGGGCTCAGCGAGGGAGAGATGAGCCCCAGCCACAGAGCAGAACACGGTGGAGCCAGGGTAGACAGTCCCGCTGCTGAGATTGAGCTGGAAACTCAGAGTGAATCTTGAAGCCCTGTCAGTTATAGAACTGAGCCTGGTGGCCTCTGCAGGGCCACACAGTAGTTTCCTTTCCTTGTCCTCTGCCTGCATATCAGCCAGAGCCCCTGGGCAGTGGTCGGGTGGTGTTTCCCCCTCTGGTGCTATGGCACAGCCCCCGGAGCGCCTGTCTCGCCAGGCACCTGGCTTCTCCCATGAGGATCCTCAATGCCCAGGTTGCTTTAGCTCTGGCTCCCAAAGAGGCCATAGTGTGAGGACCTAGTCTGTCCCAGGCACTCCGGCCCTTGGGGTACAGCCATGTGGAAGTTGCCCAGAGTCTGCTCGAGGCGCTGTGGCCTAATGAAGGGAAGCAGTGATGGCCAGGCCACACGCCCAGCTTGTCAGGCAGCTTGTCAGGCAGTGGTGGCTGCTTGGAGGCAGGAGGCAGGAGGCAAGGGGTGGGGTAGGGAAGGACCCCTGAGGTGCCTCTGGGGGAAGACCTGAAGGCAATAGGGCCAAGGCCACCGAGGCCTGAGGCGTCCCACGCAGAGCCAGTGTGGACACCTGGAGGTAGGAGTGTTCCTGGGACGCTCGGGCAGCAGGCAGCGTGGAGGGCTCCTGAGGTGGGGTGTGAGGCGGAGAGAGCAGGGGCCTGGGGCTAGTAGTCGAGACAGGACCACCGACCCCACTGCCTGGGGCTGGGGGGCTGTGAGTGCTCCCCTCTCCCACCCGAGGCCCCACGTTCCTTTAGCCCGGCCTCTCCCCTCCTGCCTTTTCCAGCGGAAATCCTGCAGGCCAACGACAGCCTCACCCAGGTGATCAACCTGTACAAGCAGCTGGTGCGGGGCGAGGAGGTCAACGGCGATGCGGCCGCCGGCCCCATCCCTGGTGAGGAGGTGGCAGGAGAGCTGGGAAGGGACCCTGCAGGCTGGAGGCACAGAGTGGAAGGAGGCACACTGGTCCCAGAGCTGTTGACGTGACTGCCAAGGTGACCCTGGCCCCTTAAGATGGGAAGCCCCAGGGGAGAAGCCTGGACCACGTCTGTGCGAGGCTGCAGCTGGGGGGGACGTCTGGAGGGAGCGGGCATTGGGCGGGAACAGACAGGAGAAGGAGGCCTTTCTTCCACTTGGTGAATCAGGCACCTGCTCTGTGGGCTGGCTGACACCCCCAAGGCCTGATTTAACCACAGAAAGCAGGAGGGAGGATCAGGCATGAGAAGACAACGGACTCAGCTCACACCAGGGTGAAACCGCAGCCTGGGATGGTGCAGGACTGGAGTTGGCCCTGTTGGGCGGCAGGGGCACCACAGAAGCGCCAGAGTGCCAGCAGGGCTCAGGGGTGGGGAGCGGTGCCATGGGAGAAAAGGAAACACGGGCACATCCTGCCGAGTGAGCTTTTGTTAGTGACCAGTCACACATTCAGTGGTGGTCCCATAAGATTGTGTCACCTTATGACATCGTAGCATTGTTTGCTACCTGGTTTACATGAGTACGCTCTGTGGTGTTCACACCAGTGATGATATCTCCCAGAACGCGTCCCTGTTGTTAAGTGAGGTGTGACTGAGTTCTAAGCAGAAGTACACTGTGTGCTAAGGAGGGCCTGTGAGCTGATTCCAGCTGGGCTGGTGTGGCCATGGAGGGACAGCAGGAAGCCATTCTGAAGGGTGGGAGGATGGGTGTCGCTAGCCTGCAGCCCCCACGCTCCAAGGGCCAAGCGTCCACCTAGGACTGGCCCAGCTCTCCTTTCCCACCCAGGGAGCACCTCGGCCCTGCTGGACCTGTCAGGCCTGGATCTCCCTCCCACGGGCACCACCTACCCAGCCATGCCCCCCCACCCCGCGGACCAGACCAGCCCTGAGCAGCTCAGCACCTCAGTTTCTCTGCTGGATGATGAGCTCATGTCTCTAGGTGAGGGTGGAGCCAGCCCTGGAGGAGGGAGGGGAGGCCCTGGCGGTGGGCATGCGCTGGAGCATGATGCCCAGGGCACACCTTGCAGCTTGCCAGGCACCAGCATTCTGCACTCCAGATGTGGATCTGGTGAGGCATGAGGTGGGCGGAAGGCCCAGTTCATGGCTGAGGAAGCCAAGGTTCAGGGAAATTAGGAGTGAGGTCACACAGTCAAAGGGTGAGGCTGGCCAGCCTCAGGAGCCCTGATGAGCAGCCACACCCAGGCTCGGCCACCTGCAGGAAAGCTCAGGGACTTCCCTCCTCGGGAGCCAGGAGCTACGGGCACCCAAGGTGCTGTGTGACCCGTCTCAAGCCCCTCTGGGTGCAGCAGCCCCACCCGGGAGCCTAGAAGAGGCATGAATAACATTCTCCTCGTGATAGCCACTGAGGTCAAGAAAAGGGCCCCATCAAGGAGTATGTGGGGGTACGTGGGAAAGCCAAGGCTTGGAAGCTGAGAGCCACGCTGCATTTTCCTGAGCCAGTTCTTGAGTAGAAACTGAACCTGGAGCCAGGGCTGCAGCTCGGAGCACACGCTGGGCATGTGCTGGGTGCCATCCCAGCATCTTCTCTCACACACACGAAGCGACAGCTGACTGGGTGGCAGGGTCTGCCTGGTGTTCTGGAGTGTTCCTGCAGCATAGCGCCCAGTGCCGCGTTGTGTCCCAGATAAGCCTCCGAGCACCCCGGGATGCAGGTGGGATGCAGGTGCCGCTCGGGTCCCTGTTGTGCAGATGAGTCAGCAGGAAGGGCTCTGGGGGTGAAGTGGGCTCCACTGCTCTCCTTTGTTCCGTTTAAGAAAAGGGCAGTGACTTACAAAAACTTATGAGATAATAATGAAAAATTTAAAAAAAGAAAAGAGCAGTGTGGACTGTGGTCTCCCCGCCAGCACCTGCCTAAGAGGCTGGCTATGACCCATCCAGAGCCCGGGGTGACCTGTGGCAAGGATGCTCATGCAGGTTGCTTTTGCCTGGCAGAGCTGGGCCAGGCAGCGGAGGACAGGGGAGCGATGACAGGACTCTGTCCCTGTGGCAGAGCAGCCTGCGCACGCGAGCAAGGTGTGCTGCTTGGCGTTTCCTGTCCCCCAGTGGCTTCCGCAGAGCTCTGTGCCTCCAGCTTCCTCTGGTTTCTTCTCAGAGGCAGAGTGTGGGAGCAGGAACCAGAAGTGCAGGCCGCTCACAGCCCAGCCCTGGGGACGGGAAGGGGAGTCTGGTCCTGATTGCTCCCTGGGGCAGGAGGGGTGGGTGGTGGTCAGGGCTCCTGTCTGTCAGGGCTCCTGTCTGTCAGGGCATTCTGGCCTGCTCAAGCGATCTCTCGGGTCTGAGAGCCACTGCTGTGGCCTCAGTTCAAAGGTGAGACCCAGGGAGGCCAAGTGACAGAGCTGCCTACAGACACCAGCAATCAAGTTCCCTGATCAAGTCTGGATTCTGTCACTTTTCCAACTGTGTGACCTGGGGCAGGTGACTTAACCCTTCATCCCTTAAAGAATTCACACCTACCTTTTAAGGTCATTTGAGGATTAAGCAAGACCCACTTTTTTTTTTTTTTAATACCTTGAGACATGGTCTTGCTAAGTTGCTGAAGCTGACCTCAAACTTAAAATCTTCCTGCCTCATCTGTGTGCCAGCACTTCCAAAGTGCCCACACTCTGGGCACAGCAGATGTCAACAGTGACACTGTTACCTCTGGTCTCAAAGGGCTGTACTAGCTGGAGACCCAACAGTCCCAGCTTCTTGGAGCCCTCTCCTCTGCCTGCCAGAGGGCACTTCTGTTTGGACCTACCTCACTCAGAAATTGCTGGAAGCAGGGTCATACATCTTTTCTAGATCAAACTCCAGAGTGAGCGAGGCTGGGGGTGTTCCAGGTGCAGGTCAGGCTAGTTAGTGACCTCCTGCTGACCAGCAGGCCAGTCCCTAGAGCCATCCAGAGGGCCCAGTGCTCCTGGACACCAGTCAGTTGGCCTTATTGATCTATGCCAGGGGACACATGGGGACACTGAGGCTTAGCCGCCACAGTGCTTGCTCAGGCTGCTCAGACGACATCCCTTGAATCAGCTATCAGGCAGGAGGACAGTGCTGACCCCTGCTTGCCTGGACCTGTGTGGTTAGGAGTCTCTTCCCCTCACCACCACCCCAGCACCCCCCTCAGCCACCAGCTGAGGAACATAAGGGGAAGTCCTGACTTCTGTCCTTGAATCGGCTTCACAGTGGCCCTGCTGAGAAGAGAAGCACATGTGGCTACAAAATGGGCTTCTGGGACTTCACTATTTCTGTCCACCACTAGTTCCCTCTGAAAGTGCGGGTTTCTCCCTTCCGAGCCAAGCTTCTCAGAAACAGGGGGTTGGAGAACCCCAGATCAGCAGCCATGCCCAGGCCCCTCACCCCTGTGCACCCAGTCCAGCCACTTCTTTTCCTGTCCTCCTTCCTCAGGCCTGAGTGACCCCACACCCCCTACAGGCCCCAGCTTGGACGGTGCTGGATGGAACAGCTTCCAGGTAGGAGTGGCCTGGACAGCCCCACTTATCCCAGCCCCTGGGGCAGTGGGGCAGGGGGACAGGGAGGAGCAGCCTGAGGGTGACAGTGAAGGGACCTTGGGCTCCCTGGTGGCACACCCAGGGAAGAGAAAAGCAGTTTGTCCTGTCCTCGCTGTTGGCTACGTCACACCCAGGCCCTAGCCTTGGCTCTCCCTTGGGGCATTAGCCCAGTCTTGGGGTCCCTGGAGGGTGACTTTGAAGTACCTGGAATGTGGAGTCCCCAGCCACTCAACCTCACGACAGGGCCGGGACCCTGTCCCCTCCTCAGGAGCCCCTCCAACCGCTTTCTTTGCCCCACAGTCCTCAGACGGTGCTGAGCCTCCAGCCCCTGCTTCAGCCCAGGTCCCCAGCACGGACATCCGGCCACCAGGACAGATGTCCCTGCCAGCCAGCAGTGGCCTGGATGACCTGGACCTCCTGGGGAAGACCCTCCTGCAGCAGTCACTGCCCCCAGAGGCCCAGCAAGTGCGGTGGTGAGGGCTGCCTTGCCGACTCGGGAGGGAGCCTCCGTCCCCTCAGACCAGCCGCTTTGGGCCTGCACAGGCCCCGCAGGAAGGCTCGTCATTCCCAGAGTGACCAAAGCAGGCTCAGTGAAGGTTCCAGAGTGGAGTTTATGGAGAGAATCTGTGCCCACTCACATGTCCCCAGAAGTCCCCAGCAACTGGAAGGACACAGAGCTAAAGTGGGCAGTTGTGGGGGGGTGCCGGGGGAACAGGAGCTGGCCATTCTACTGGCGAGGTGACCGACGGCCAGAGAGAGAGTGATGTGTGGGGATGGGCCAGGAAGCCCAGCCTTTCCTAGTCCCCTGATCTCCTGACCACCAAAGAGTCACTTTTAACACACTGTTCCCCAATAAGGGAGAAGCAGCAGCCAGCCCCCCGGCTCACACTCCGGGACCTGCAGAATAAGAGCAGCTCACCCAGCCCCAGTGCCACCAGCCTCCTCCACGCCGTGTCCCCAGAGCCCCCTGGGCCTCCACAGCAGCCCCTGCCCACTGAGCTCTCACTGGCCAACATCACTGTGCCCCTGGAGTCCATCAAACCCAGTGAGTGGGGCAGGGTGGGAGGGGGAGGCCGGGCCAGGTCAGTGGCTGCCCCCTGGGCCCTGCCATTGGCCACCTCAGTGGGGAGCACTGAGCAGGCCTTTCCTCCTGGAGCCCAGAGCAGTTGCAAAGCTGCTGCGTGAGCCCAGGTCCTGCAGCTGGGGCTCCTGGGAGACAGACCCTGGCCCGGCTCCCCAGGAAGGCAGGAGTCGGGATACAAAGGTTTGGGCCCCAAGATTATGAAACCAAACTGTAATAAAAATGCAGGTCCAAGCCTGGGACATGTCCCCCAGGAGCACTTGGAGGCCACTGCCCAGCACCAGGTCCTAAGCAGACACGAGGGCTAGCTGTCCTCTCATCCTGGTCGTCTCCATGAGCTCACTGTGACCCAGGGTATCACGCCCTCCATGTCCCTGTCTTACCAGTAGGAAGACAGCTCAGAGAAGGGGAGTAGCGGGGTCACAGTGAGTGTGTGACCCAAACTCAGCACAGCCCTTCGCCCCAGCTGGGAGCCACAGGGGCTCTGCTGCAGGGGCGTCCTGCCCCTGTCTGCGGACCAGGCGCACTGCTGCCCCGGCGGAGGCAGGCTGGGTGAGGGGTTCGCTCACTGGGGAGCCCATCGTCCCCCCTTCTCTCCACAGGCAGCATCTTGCCCGTGACCGTGTATGACCAGCATGGCTTCCGCGTCCTCTTCCACTTTGCCCGCGACCCGCTGCCTGGCCGAGCTGACGTGTTGGTGGTGGTGGTATCCATGCTCAGCACTGCCCCCCAGCCCATCCGCAACATCGTGTTCCAGTCAGCGGTGCCCAAGGTGACGCTGCAGGGCTGGGCTGGGGAGCCCGCTGCCTGAGGACAGGCAGGGACAAGGTCTCCCTTCTTTGCTGGGGGTAAAAGGGAGCCAAAGGACAGAGTCCCTCAGCGGGGAGCTGGCCTGGTTCCTCGGGCCATGGGAGGTGACCGGGGCTAGCTGTGCCGTCTGCCCTCCTGCCACAGGTCATGAAGGTGAAGCTGCAGCCCCCCTCAGGGACGGAGCTGCCGGCGTTCAACCCCGTTGTCCACCCCTCAGCCATCACTCAGGTCCTGCTCCTCGCCAACCCCCAGAAGGTGAAGGGCCCAGCTGAGCCGGGCCGGGCTGTGGGCGGGGGCCACCTCTCCTCCCCTAACCCTCCGCCTTCGCCATCTGCCCAGGAGAAGGTCCGCCTGCGCTACAAGCTCATCTTCACCATGGGCGACCAGACCTACAGCGAGATGGGCGACGTGGACCAGTTCCCCCCGCCTGAGACCTGGGGCAGCCTCTAGAACAGAGGGGCTGGGGAGAGGAGAGGACAGGGGCCAGCGCTGTGCAGCCTGGGGAGAGGCTGTGGTGGCCTGGACACCCTCTGTTCTCCGTGGCCATGTGCCCCTGGCCTGGTGCATCTCCCCCCACCCTGTGGCCCCAGGTGACTCTTCCCCTCCTGCTTTGCCTCCCCACCTGCTGAGCCAAACCCAGCGGGAGGTTGGGCCTGGGTTTGCACCACCAGGGTCCCCCAAAACTGGTGGGGTCCTGGAGCAGGGAGGGCTGCCCAGCCATGGAAGGACTTGGGTCTAAGGGAAGAAGCCTGGCCATCGGGCCCAGCCCTGACCCCAGCCCGGGTGGGGTCTTCCCCACCTGTCTCATGCCTTATGGGAAGGCCCAGCCATAAACGGGAGGTCAGGCTGGAGCTGGGGACCAGCCAGGCCTCCTCATAGGAACCCAGTGACTGGGGGACACCCGTGCCCCCACTGTTTGCACTCTGCTGTGTGGTTTGGCTCCTTTGCTTTTCTTTCGGAGTAGCCGGTGGCTGCAGCCCAGGCCCTGCCTCCTGGGGGCCTCTCTTCACTGCGAGGTCTCTAGAGGGACTGTGGGAGCCCGGGGTGAGGCCGGAGGGTGGCCCAGGCAGGGCTCCCGGAGCTCTCAATTCGTCTGTGCTGGGCCTCCCGGGGCGCCTCACGCCTGGCCACCCATCTGCCCACGGTCAGCAGTGGAGGCGGCGGGGGCGGGGGCGCAAGTATTTATGAAAATAAAACGTCCTTGTTCCTGGACCAGCCGCTGTCTTGGCCCTACTGAGGCTGATGGAGAGAGGAGGGGTCCTGGGTGGGGCTGCCTGTGAAACTCTGTCACCATCTTGGGAGGTCAGCCATGGTGTCATCGTCCCCCCCATCCCCCCTTGCCCAGAAGAGGCCCTGCTCAGGGGCCTGTGGCTGCTGAGCCACCAGAGCGTCCCACCCAGCGGTGGGGGGTGGGGCTGCTGGGAGCTGCTGCCTGTAGGGGAGTCCGATGTGAAGGGGGGACTGCCCTCAGCACTTCCTCCTCCTGAGCTCAGCCCACAGGGCCACACCGCCCTGGAGGGACCCTGAGCCCCAGCTCCCCTAGGCCCATGGTCTGTGCAGAGATGGGCCTGGAACCCCAGCAGAAGGCCATTCCCCAGCTGCAGCTTACCCCCACCCAGGGTGGCCAGGGTGCAGACCCCGAGCAGGCAGAGGCCACGAGGTGAGGAGACCCCAGCCCCGCCTGCCATCCTGAGCCGGGGTTCTCTCGTGAAGGGGAGGCTGGCCATCACCTCTCAGCAGACACACTCCCTAAGGACCTGGGAGATCCCACATTTATTTAAGAAACCAGTTTTACTTTGTGGAACCCAGTGTTTTCCTGGTTTGAACTTGGCTGCTGAGCCCTGTCCACAGAGAACAGCCAGGTCCACGCTGGTGGTGCAGGGTGACAGGAGACACGTCCCCACTGGGGCCTCTTCCCTATCAGATCTCCACAGTGTGACTCGTGCCTGTGTCCCACCTGAACAGGGCCGTGTGATCTCATCCTGCTGCCCTTCCCTGAATGCTCCAACACCTCCAAAGTAACCGCAGTTGGAAGGTGCCCACCTGGAGTCTCAGGGTCACATCTCAATCATACTGTCCCTGAAGGGCTTCAGGTTGGCTTGGAGACAGCATGGTGGGCTTAGAGTTGGGGCTGGTTCCAGCTGCTGTGCTGGTGCTGGCCTGCCGTGTGACTACTGGACGTGCTTCCCTTTCTGGCCCTGAGGTCTCTTGTTTGAAAAGGTGGGAGGGACCCACTGGGCCTAAAGGCCCTTCAGAAGAGTCCCTGAGCCAAAGGACCCAGGCAGTTAAGGGACAGGGAATCCCTTCAACCTCAGACCCTCTGCCCTCCTGTCCTTGTCCACCCATTGCTGCCCACCAGGCCAGTCTTGTTGGGGTGCCCCAGTGCAAGGCAGGCCCGGTCTTCAGCTCACGCTGGCACCCTAGGGGTGGGGCAGGGCAGGACATGGGCTAATAGCAGTCTGAGGGTCCCAGCAGGTTCTGACCAGAGGAGGGGCTCTTGTCCCCACCGCCTGGAAGGCCCTGTGTGGCTTCAGGCAGGCCTGGAGTTGGACTGGGCAGGGTGCTCAGGGGAAGCAGCTCTTCTCCTGAAGGGTGACCCCCACCACCATGCCAAGACCATGGGACTTCCCGACATGGAAGCCACACTCTGGCCACCGTTAGGCCAGGGCAGCAGTTAGTGTTTTGGTAACCACGGCATACTGCTCACCTGTTCAGATGCCAAGAGCAACAGGGAGCCCTCCCCCGCTCCCTCAGTCTCCGCAGCCTCATAGCCAGGGCGCAGGACCCAGGAGGCCAGCCTGGCCCGAGGCCACACCTGCAGCCCCTCCATGAAGTCTCAACTCCCCTGGGAAGACAGGAACTGAGGCTTGGGCCAGCTCTGGAGGTCACACATGCAGAACCTGGGGTCTGCACCAACAGTCTAGAGAGGAGCTGGCCACCAGGCGCAGGGCACTCCCGGCCCCGGAGCCTGCTCCTCCAGCCTCTGTCAGCCCTGACTTTGGTCCTCTGGAGCCGGGGGCAAGGGCACACACTATCCCGGGGCTACTGATGGGAGGCCTTGTGCCTCAGCCCCACCTGAGGGTTCCTGGAAAGTCCTTTGGCTGGGGGCGAGGGCAAAGGAGTTCTAGAATCCCAGAGAGCACACTGGTGCCCAGCTGCTCTGGGCAGAGGCCACACAGCGCAGTGCCAGGCTGACCACAAACTAGCAATTTGTACAAGTGTCTCAGATGGGATGCTGCCCCCGCCACTGCCGACCTCACAGCAGCCGCTGCCCCGCCTGCACCCTGCCTCCCCACAGACACCTCTCTGTCACACATTTGTTGGTGCAGGAAAATCCGTGCCAAGACCGCGGGGCCCCTCCAAGTGGCCACAGGTTGAAGCAGGGGCGAGGGCCAGTACTAATGGAGTTTCCAGGCGTTGCCACCACGGAAAGGAAAGCAACTGTGGGCTTTGGGGCTGACATCTGCCCTCTACCACTCAGACAGCAAGGGGCCCTGGGCCAGTAGCAGCAATCTCATCTGTAAAATGGGGACAAAGACAAAGCTCACTGGAGGATGTGCTAAGGACTGTGGGAGGCAACAGACTCATCTCAAGGGCGACCTAGGAGGAGTGGGGTGAGGGCTCCTTCCACTCGGGGCTTTCGGTGGGCTGGATAACAAAGGAAACCAGAAATGGCCCAGGCACTTTTCTAAGCATTTTCCACATTAATCTGTTTAAGCCTCCCAGCCCCCATAGTCCATCTTACCATGGGGACACCGAGGCAGGGGGTGAACCATCTTGGGCAAGATGGCCTCAGACCAGCTCCATGACCCGCTACAGCTCTATCCTCACAGTGGTTGATGCCAGGTCCTCTCTTGCCATTTGGGTGGACTATGTCCACAGGGCTCCCAGGACTACACACACTGCTGGGCTCCCAGGGATTCTGCATGGGCCAGATGAGTGCCAGGACTCCCCCCAGGAGGAGACACAACCTGGTGTAGAGCCAGGTAAGTCACAGGCCCCTTGGTTAGGAAAGGACGTGGGAGGGGTCAGCTGGTGACCTCTGAGGCCTTTCCCCACCTGCATTTCTTTTTGTTTTGTTTTTGTGGTGCTGGGGATTGAACCCAGGGACTTGTGCATGTGAGGCCAACACTCTACCACCTGAGCCATATCCCCAGATCCCACACCTGCAATTTCTAAAAATTCCACAATCCCTGTGATCCCAGCATTCACTGATGGAAACCGCATCTGATCACAACATCTTTCCAAGGACAGCTTCAGACCCAAGCTCTGGGGCTTCCAGCCTTCTATGACTCAACAGCCCCGTGTGACATGAGAGGCCCTAAAACACACCGGTCGTCCAGTCAAGAGGTACAGCAGCCCAGGCCAGGTCAGAACCAGAAGTCTCCTGGGTCAGGCTAGAGGGGAACCTGGATCCCTGGCTAGAGGGGACGGCCTGATACGATGCTGGCTGTTTCCACAGAAGCTGCAGCTAAGTCCATGTGGACAGGTCCCCTCCTAGACCAAGCCAGGCCTCACCCTCAGGAACCTTCAGACCAGATGAGTAGCTGGACAAGCCCAAGTCCAATGTGGTTTGGGCTGGAGGTTGAGCTAGCTGAGGGCAGGAGCATGGTGGAGTCCAGAGACTTCCCCAGGGTGGGAGAGCTGGCACCTGAGGTCAGGCTGCCAGCCTGGGAATCTTCAGCTTCCCAAGGCTGTGCCCAACAGGTTGTGCCCATTGCAGAGACAAGAAAACTGAACCACGAGGAAGTTCTAGGATCTGGCTAGCGGGAAAGGTGGAAGGGAAGGACCAGAACCCCGACATCCAAACCCAGGCCCACAATATGCACTCGGCTCACCAGGGCTTCCCCACACCCTCCCCAGGATCCCTGGCCAGAAGCCTTCCTGGGAGGGAAAGGAGGTGGGGAGGGATCCCCTCACCCAGACCTGAGCCTTTGATCCTGGGGCCAGGATTCCACTCAGGTGGGCTCCCAGCTGGGAGCAGCTGCTGGGTTCCATCTCAGTTCCTCCAGCCTCCATGGGGCCTGCCAGACCCTCCTTCAGGGACTGGAGGGCGGCCAGTTTCCAGTGAGCACTCTGTAGGTACCAGGCCCTGTTCTGGGCACTGGGAATGTGGAGATGTCTGAAGCCAAGGTGCTCCCACCACAGACAGTAGGCGCTGGGCAGAGCTGGAACAGAACAGAAACTGACTTCATGAAGTGGAGGGAGCTGGGGCCTCTCCCGCACACCCTCCCCGGATGCCTGCCGGCCACACTGGGAAGGGAAAGGACAGCTCTTTCTCAGTGGCTCTTGTCCTGTATAACCAGCAGTTACCGAGTACCTGCTGGGCAGGCCAAAGAGCTGACTCCGGGAAACAGCGCCCACATCGTCCACTTACAAAAGGGCAAGGGCAGGAGTTAGGGACGTTTGCCAGGAGGAAGGAGAGGAGAAGGGGCTTTACAGATGCAAGAAATTGTCCCTGCTGAGGTCCTCCACAGGGGGACAAGAGCAGGAGTTGGGAGGCTGGAGGAGCAGATGGGCGGGGTCAAGGCAGCAGTGCACTAGGGACAGGGGCGCAGAGTGCCAGGGACTTGTCCCAGGGTAACAGCAGCCGGTGGTCCCAGAAGTCAAAGCTCCCAGCCCGCCAGCCAGCAGGGGCAGCGGACAGAGGTGCTCCGGGACAGGGAGCCGGGGCCGCATCCCTCTGCCGGCCCCAGGGACAGCACGGGTCAGAGAGGCCCCTGTCCTGGGCCTCCCTCCCAGCCGCGGAGCCCTCCTTCCCCTTGAGAGGGGTGCAAAGGTTGTTTGTACCCGAGGCCCGCGGCGGCGGAGGGCGGTGGCGGCCGCGGCTTACCTGCTTCCCGCCACGGGCGGGGCCAGGCGGGCGGGGAGGAGCCGGGCGCACGACCTGGGGACCGCGGGCGGCCGGCCGGCGGGACACTCGCGGGGCGGCCGAGCGAGGGTCGTGGGGGGCCCGGAAGCCCGGGGAGAGCGGGACGACAACTTGGAGAGAGGAGTGACCTGGGGGCCGGGGGCGGAGTCGGCGGGAGGAGGCAGCCGGGGCGCGCGGCCCAGGAAGCCGAGCGCCGCCCACCCATCCGGGCCAGGCGGCGCGGGAGGCAGCGCCGGCGCCCGCCCCGACCCCCGCCGCGACCCCGCGCCCAGGCCGGCCCCACGATGATGAAGCGGCAGCTGCACCGCATGCGGCAGCTGGCCCAGACGGGCAGCTTGGGACGGTGAGTGTCACCCGCTTCCAGCCCCGCTCTCGCCCCGCAGGACCCCAGAGGGCGCGGAGGGTGGGGGACGGGTGGGGGAGGCGGGGACAGCTGGGCAGCCGCCCTCCGGCCGCCAGAACCCTGCCCTCTCCTCCCCACCGAGGCCGCCGACTCCCAGGCAGAGCTGGCCTCTGGGGAAGGGGCGCCCCAGCCCGGATTGGAGGGGGCTGCTCGGGGGGAGACCGCCCCGACCAGGGACCTGGCTCTTCTCTGCCTCCGCAGCCTCGGAGTGATCGTCCCCCCTGACCTCACTTGTGCCCTCTGGACAATGGGGACAGTTAACCACTTCTGGCTGTTAGGTGGGGGAGGGACCCTGTCCTGGTCTGGAGAGAAGCCGCTGTCCCTGTCCTGTCCCCTCCTGTCCCCTCCGCCTGCCCACAGGCCTCCTGCTTCTTGGTCCTGCTTCTGCTTTTCTCCAGCCCAGGTGGAAATGTCCCCTGGTCTCCCTGCGCCCTCCCCCAGCTCCTGAGCTGGCGGAGGAGCAGAGGCCGGAAGTTTGGGGAGCCTCTGAAGGCCTGTCCTCTGCTCCTTCCCCAGCTGAGTTCCCCATTCTGTGGTCCCAGGGGAAGGGACCGCGTGTCCAGAGACCAGTTCTAGTCTCACACTGGCACAACCGCCTGTGTGCGCCTGGGCAGCCAGGCCACCCTTCGAGGGGCCTCAGCGTCCCTGTGTGTCCCCCAGCGGGGACCCAGAGGCTGCCCGCCCCTGCCCACAGCTGCTGTCCAGAGTCTCCTGTGCCCAACAGCTCAGAAGTCCCCGCTCCCACACTTCCCATTCTGGGGCCAGCCTAGGCCTCCTCTTTCCGGGCAGGCTGACAGTCTGCAAGGCGAGCAGAAGAGAGGCCTTGCCCCTGCCACCCACAGCCGGGCCCTGTGGCCCTCCCACCCACTCAGGACACAGCCCCGGGTGGAGGAGGAAGTCATGTATCCTCTTCCACCCCTTGGAATGTGCTCCAACTGGGATGAGGCAGGCAGGCCACCCAGCGTGGCCCCACCTGGGAGGGGCACTGGAAGCACCTGGGGTCCCTGTGCCCTGTGGGGGGTGGGGCAGGGAGGCAGGGGTTCCTCAACCTGCTCCACATCAACTGTCCCCTCCCTGCAGCACTCCTGAGACTGCCGAGTTCCTGGGTGAGGACCTGCTGCAGGTACGTGTCTGGGCCCGCTGAGGGAGGCAGGCCTGAGCAGGCTGCCTCAGAAAGGCCCTTGGGGACACTGGCTGGGCCCCACTGGAGTCATTCCCCTTGCTGTTGGCTGCGGGGTCGCAGGAGGAGGAAAGAGAAGGGAGTTTCTGCTCTAGGGAGGACAGCCACCCGCGGCCCACAGCCACCTCTCCCTCGCAGGTGGAGCAGCGCCTGGAGCCCGCCAAGCGAGCAGCCCACAATGTCCACAAACGGCTGCAGGCCTGTCTGCAGGGCCAGAGTGGGGCCGACATGGACAAGCGGGTGGTGAGTGGGGGTTCCTGGGAGGACCCAGGCAGGAGGTTTCTGTCCAGTGCAGGGGCAAGGTCAGGGCTGGGCTCTCCCTTGCCAGTGTGAACCTCTGCACCTAGGTCAAGAGACTGCTGTCCCAAGGCCCCTGGGGAGGTACCTCACTCCTGAAAGCCCTGGCTTCCCCATCCCTTCCTGGCCCTGCCCCTGTGCACCATCCCTGTGGGCCCCCCGCTGGCCTCTGACAGCACCTGAACCTTTCTGTCCAATCAGCTCACAGAGCAATCTCCCTGGGCAGCCTTGGAGGGAGTGGCTTTCATGCTGGATTTTGAGGGACACTCGCTGGTGTTATCTTGATCCCTCGATGCCACTCTGCTGCTAAGACATGATCAAGCCTGTCTCTCACGGGGTGCTGAGAGCCCCAGCGGGAGATGCTATTTACAATGAGGAAAATAGGCTTAAAGTCCCTCACCTAAGATCACACAACTAGCAAGGGACAGAAGTCCGGTCTGACCTTTGGTCTCTGATCCCAAAGCTAGGTGCTGTCTGTCACTCCAGGTGGGAGAGTGGGGGAGTCAGTCAACAGTTTAATGTGGCCAGAACATGGGGTTGGCAAGAGGGTGCCGTGGCAGGTTTGAGCTCAGCACTCAGAGGTGGCCAGGTCAGCCAACTGTTACACCCTGGGGCAGGGGAAAGAGTCCCACTCCAAGGCTAGCTCCTCCTTTTTTCCCTCCAACTGTGTGACCTTGGGTAAGTTCCCTACCCTCTCTGTGCAGTAGTTTCCTAGTCCTTGATGGGACTTTGGGATTCCTTCCTGCCCAATTAGGTGACTTCTAGAAGGGAGGGAAGGGGACCTCAGATAGGGGTTCTGTACGTGGTTATAGGGAGACGTCACCTGTTCGTCCCTGTCATTCAGTCTTCACCACCCCCTGTGTCTGGCCCTCCTGGTCCCTCCCCCTGCCTGGGGCTTGCCCGAGGGAGCTCAGGCAGGGTGGGGGGCAGGTGCCCTCATGCTCACAGCCCACCCCACATTCCCTGCAGAAGAAGCTTCCCCTCATGGCCCTGTCTACCACCATGGCCGAGAGCTTCAAGGAGCTGGACCCGGATTCCAGCATGGGGTGAGCAGAGAGGACCCCACCCTCATCTGAGGATACTGGAAAGTGATCCTAGGTTGGGAGGGGTCCAAGTCGGCAAGAGCATCCACACCAAAAGGTGACCGGCTGGGGACAGGGTCCCATTTGGTGAGGGTGGCCAGGCCTGAGAGAGCCTGGAGGAGGGGCCCCACCAAGTGCTTCCAGGTGGGGCGAGGGCCGCGGGACTCTGGCCCACGGGCGCTGTTCCACAGGAAGGCCTTGGAGATGAGCTGTGTCATCCAGAACCAGCTGGCCCGCATCCTGGCCGAGTTTGAGATGACCCTGGAGAGGGATGTCCTGCAGCCACTCAGCAGGCTGAGTGAGGTGACCCTGTCCCCTGAGCCAGGTCCCACCCTCCCCAGCTCCCAGCTCCCTCCCTCTGCCCACCGAACCTTCCCCTCCCTGCGCAGGAGGAGCTGCCAACCATCCTGAAGCACAAGAAAAGCCTGCAGAAGCTGGTCTCTGACTGGAACACCCTCAAGAGCAGGTAGGGCCGGGGCCTGGGTCAGGCCACAGCTCTGAGACCCCTGCCACACTAGGAGACTGCAGGGCCCCCTGGGTAGTGTGTGCTTGGGCCCATGGCTGGTCCGAGGAAACACGTGTGGGGAGGGTACATGAGAGGCTGTGTACGTGCTGGTGACAGCCAGTGTCACGGGAATCCCAGTGTCACGGTGACCCCTAGGAAACCTGCAATCTCCAAGATCCCTGAATGGCCAGGAGGCCCGTCTTGCTCCCTGAGTTTAGTGGTTGTGATCACCACAGCCAACACCAGGGGTCGCCCCAGAGCACTCTCACCCAAGCCAGGAACCCTAGAAAGCCGTTGGTCAGGTGTGCGGAAGGGACCCTTGGCTCTGGACATGCCATGGGGCTGGTGACCACCCCCCGTTGGGATCACCCCCAGGCTCAGCCAGGCAGCCAAGAACTCAGGCAGCAGTCAAGGCCTCGGCGGCCCAGGCGGCCACGGCCACCCCACCACAGCCAACAAGGTGGAGACGCTCAAGGAGGAGGAGGAGGAGCTGAAGAGGAAGGTGGAGCAGTGCAAGGTGAGGCACCGGGCGCAGGGTGGCAGCTTGGGCACTGTCCCCGTTCACAGATGAGGAAAGGGAGCTCAGAGAAGTGACATGATTCTCCAAGGCGGCAGAGCTGGGATCCAGGCAGAATCTGCTCGGCCACCACCTCGTGGGCACCACTGTCTGCACCATGCCAACCCCCGACAGCCTCCACGCAATGATGCTGCACTTAATGACCCTCCAGCCCTTGGAGGGAGACCGTTTGGCTCTATTTTGCAAGGGGGAAATGGAGGCAAAGAGGTTTGCTGATGAGTGAGTGACGGGCCGATTGCCCCAGCTTCATCTGGCATACGCCTTCCCCTCTCTGTCCCAAGGATGAGTACTTGGCGGATCTGTACCACTTTGCCACCAAGGAGGACTCATATGCCAACTACTTCATTCATGTGAGTCCGAGGCCCGGCTTCGCCATCTGCCGCTCGGCGGGTGGAGGAAGGGCCAGGGCCTGCGGTGAGGCAGGGGATCCGCTCTGTGGATCTTTCTCAGCTTCCCTCACTTCCCTCGGGGATGTCTGTCTGTCCCCACAGCTCCTGGAGATTCAGGCTGATTATCATCGCAGGTCACTGTCTTCACTGGACACAGCCCTGGCTGAGCTGAGGGACAATCACAGTCAAGCAGGTGGAGACATGGCTGGCCAACCCCACACCCCCAACTGTGCCCTGCCCAGAGCCAGTTAAGAAGCTTGCACTTCATCCTGAAGGGCAATAGGGAGCCATGGTTGAGTTTGGAGCAGGGGCAGTCTGGGTCAGGTTTGTGTGGACGGGTTGCTCGAGCCACTGTGAGCCTAGGAGTCAGAGGGAGGAGAGGGGCCTGGCCTAGGCAGAGGCAGTGGCCAGTTCAAGAAGTATCATGGGTGCTTTCAATGTGTGTGTGGAGTAAGGGGTAAGGTGATACCACCTTGAGGATACTGGGGTGCCTGTCTACCCTGGGTCTCTGACCAGTCTCATCCCTGCAGACCCCTCCCCTTCGATGACGGCCACCCCCTTCTCCAGGGTGTATGGGGTGTCACTGGCAAGCCACCTGCAAGAGCTGGGCCGGGACATTGCCCTGCCAATTGAGGCCTGCGTCCTGATGCTGCTCTCTGAGGGCATGCAGGAAGAGGTGGGACCACTGGGGCAGCGGGGGGCTTTAGGATTTAGCATTGGGACTGTTAGGCAGCCCTGTCCTGGGGCTGTCATTCCCCGGTTAGAGCACGGGTCCCCAGAGAAGGCCCAGACTCCTACTACTGAACCGACAGCCTCCACGTGATGATGCTGCACTTAATGACCCTCCAGCCCTTGGAGGGAGACCATTTGGCTCTATTTTGCAAGGGGGGAAATGGAGGCAAAGAGGAAAACCTGCCCAGAGTCACACGAGTAGGTGTCATTGCTGCCAGGAGCTCCACAGTGCCGTCACTGTCACATGCTGGCCCATATCTGTCCCCTGCACCTTAGCATTGTGGGTACCTTGGCCCTTTCAGCCCATGCTGGGCCTCCCCTCTACCCCCGCTCCTCGCCAGACTCCTGTCTCACAGCTTTCCCCTGGGGTTCAACCCTGCCTCTTGCTCAGAATTATGGGCTTTGAGAGCTGGAAGGTCCACAGACCCTGTGGTGTGCACCCGCTGACCAGCCAGCGGCGACACCGAGGCCAGTGGGGGCCTGCAGCGGAGGCCAGGGCCTCCCGGCCACCAGCCTGTGCGTCCTGCCGGCCCCCTGTCCACCCTCACCTGCTGCTCTTGCCCCGCAGGGCCTCTTCCGTCTGGCCGCTGGGGCCTCGGTGCTGAAGCGCCTCAAGCAGACGATGGCCTCGGACCCCCGCGGCCTGGAGGCGTTCTGCTCAGACCCCCACGCCGTGGCAGGTGCCTGCTGGAGGGAGCCCTGGGCAGGAGCAGGGACATGGGGACACTTGGGGCTCCTGTTGGTGATGACTCCCCTGAAGTACATTCTCCCAGCATCAGGATCACTAAACATTTTGCCAAACGGGTCTGAGGCCCCAAGAAACTCTCAGGCCTGGACATGTCGATGTGACACACGGAGAGCTGGGGCCTGGGGGTGCAGAGAGGCCATTTGGGGGCTGCCTCTGAACTTACCCTGCTCCTGCCAGGTGCCCTCAAGTCCTATCTTCGGGAGCTGCCAGAGCCCCTGATGACCTTTGACCTCTACGATGACTGGATGAGGGCAGCCAGGTGAGGACTTGGGGTGGAGAGGAGGCGGCTACAGAGGCTCAGCCTTGGGCTCACCGGCTGCTCTCCCTCCTCAGCCTAAAGGAGCCTGCGGCCCGGCTGGAGGCCCTCCGAGAAGCCTGTCACCGCCTGCCCCAGGAGAACCTCAGCAACCTCAGGTGAGCCTGGGCCACCTCCACCTCTGGCCGTCCCCAAGTTGAGTCTAGTCCCAGAGACTAGCTGGGACTCAGGAGCCCCGGGCCTCCGTCCAGGTCTGTCACTGTGTCCCAGGCAGTAGTTCTGAAAACAGCTTAGGTGTACTGGACATACATATATTTTAATACTATTATTGAAATAAACGAATCCTACACCCCTAAGCCACGCCCCTGCCACTGCTGGCCCTGGGCAAGAAACTTGGTGTCAGCACCTGGTCATTAAGTCCCTGCCTCAAGGGTAGCTGGGAGGACTCTCATCCTAGCCCTTGCCAACACAGTTGGGCCAGCTAAACTATTAAAATGTTTAAAATCAGCCAGGCGCAGTGGCGCACACCTGTGATCCTAGTGGCTCAGGAGGCTGAGGCAGGAGGATCTCAGGTTCAAAGCCAGCCTCGGCAACTTAGCAAGGCTCTAAGCACCTTAGTAAGACCCAGTCTCTAAATAAAAACTAAAAAGGGCTGGGGACGTGGCTCGGTGGCAGAGCGCCCCTGGGTTCAACCCCCAGGACTGTAAGAGTGAGACAACAAAAACCCTGTGAAGCCCCCTGTTTGGAAACCCTGGGCTGGGAAGTCCTCGGGACTTAGGGGCATCCGTGGGTGTCCGTGGCCCAAGATGCTCTGCCCGGCCCAAGCCAACCTCCTGCCCCAGGTACCTGATGAAGTTCCTGGCACGGCTGGCCGAGGAGCAGGAGGTGAACAAGATGACGCCCAGCAACATCGCCATCGTCCTGGGGCCCAACCTACTGTGGCCGCCTGAGAAGGAAGGGTGAGGGCCAAGGGCCGGGGGACCAGGAGGGAGCAGTCCCCTCCCCAGCCACCTGCTGTTTACCTTGCTGGGCCTCAGTTTCCCCACCATGGAGTGGGTTGAGCATCTCCTATTCCCAAGTCTGCTGTGAGGAGAAGCCCAAAGGGACTAGGGACCCCACAGAGCTTTGGAAACAGGCATTCTGGGGACTGGCGGTGATGGGTGGTTGACAGCCTGGTGCTGCAGCTGGGAGTCCAGAGCTCCTGTTCTCTCTCCACCCCACCGTCCAGATGGGCCTTGGGAAGTTACCCTGTGGACCTCCACTTCCCTGTCTGCCAACTGGGGAGAAATTATACAGACTTCCAAGGTTTTATTGGGGGAACTAGATGAGATAATGAATGGGAAATGTTTTATAAACTGTAAAGTGCTGACAGGAGAAGAATCATCATTACATAAGGGGCCACAGACAGCACAAAGATTTCGTCCCAAGTACTGAAATCGATTGTGTGGACCCAAGACTTGTGGGGAAGGGGCCCGTGATCGACTAGTGATGTCTGTCATGGGTGAAGAACAGGGAAGTGATCCGTTTGCCTTCAACGGATGGTCTCTGAGCTTTCTGAGAATTGGGACTTCATCTGTATGTCCCCAGTGCCCAGCACAGGGCCAGAGTTGGGGCCACTGAAATGATACCTAGTGGATGACCCTCTGCATCCCCCGTGTTGTGCCAGGGACCAGGCCCAGCTGGACGCGGCCTCCGTGTCTTCCATCCAGGTGGTGGGCGTGGTCGAGGCGCTGATCCAGAACGCAGACACCCTCTTCCCTGGAGGTGAGTGCTGTCCTCGGGAATGCCTCCGTGGTCACCTGCCTCCCAGCCCTGGGCCCCGAGACCATCCTCAGTCCTCGGGAGCTCATCCGGAGCCTCCTCTACCCCGAGCCTCAGTCTCTCTTCTGAGCAATGGGGGTGATCCTATCGACCTCTTGGGACTGTCACCAAGCTCATGTGGGGTGGGAGGTGAAGCCCAGGTCCTTCACAGGAAGGGAGGGTGGCCCTGACCCTGAGAGGCCGGTGGAGACCTGAACTCGAGACCTGCTCCTCCCGTCTCCAGACATCAACTTCAACGTGTCAGGCCTCTTCTCAGCCCTCGCCCCTCAGGACAAGGTCAGCGACAGGCCTGCGTCTGAGGAGCTGCCACCTGTTGCTGTGCCCACCCCAGCTGCCACCCTGGCCCCAGCCCCAGCTTCAGTGGCCCCCAAGGAAAGGTGAGGAGGACGAGCATGCATGGCCCTCTGCCGGCCCTGCAACGTCAGCGAGGCACCCTCTCCTGGGATGTGGGAAATGTGATTATAGCATTTTCAGCCCCGAGCCTGGTCCCCCAGTGTGGAGGGGGTGGTGGAGACTGAGGCCATGCCCCTCAGCCTCGCGCGTCCCCTTGAGTGGTGTTGACGGAGCACCTGCTGTGTGCCGAGCACGCTCCAGGCCCTTGGGATTTAGGAAACTGGGAGGAGACTTTTCTAGAATTGATGTACACCTTCTAGTCTTCTCCCTGCTCCTTTAAATCTGGAAGAGGTCGTGGGCATGCTGCTTCCATAACCCAGCAGGTAGCACTCAGGTCCCGCGGATGGCCGGGTCCACACCTTAAATGTCCTCAGATGAGCCCGTCAAACACTGCCCTTAGAGCTCTTATTCCAGGCCACAAGGTCACACGGCAAGCAGGGACTCAGAGGCCACAAACCCTGGCCAATGCCAGAAGTATCTTCCCAAGGAGATCTGACCTGGGGACACATCCCCAGAACAGCCACAAGGTGACGGGAGTGAACTGGGGGACCCACTCTGCCTGAGTCTCCCCAGGATCCCGGTGACTTCTGGGACACAGGCCAGCTTGACCCTGCTCCTCTCCTTCCTGTGGCAGGACAGAGGCTGAGGCCCCACCCCGACCAGCCTCCCCCAAGGTCAACAGAAGCCCCCCAGAGACAGCTGCCCCAGCAGAGGACACGGCTCGGAGGAGTGAGTTACCTGGGGTGTAGGCAGAGAAGGGGACAGGGGGTGGGCAGCCCCAGTCCAGCCCAGCTCTTTAGACCACAGGGGCCAGGAACAGAGGTGGTCAGAAGCCCACGTTTTGCCACCTGGGCAGTCCAGGGTCAAATTCCAGTTCTGTGACCTTAGGCAGGTGACATCATCTGCCTGGGCCTCAGCCTCATCTTCTGTGAGGTGGCACAGTAACCGCCCCTACCCGGGAAGGCTGTGTGGGAATGAGCTGGGGAGTGGGGCTCGGGTTAGGCAGCGTGAGCATGGGTGTGTCCCGGGCCCCCAGAAGCCCAAGACCACGGAGGGCAGAGGGGCAGGGCGTCTTCAAAGGGGACGGGGAGGGCCCCTGGGCACCTCTGGTTTGTTCACCTGTCAACCTGGCTGAGGTGGCCTGGGGAGCAGGTCAGGGGAGTCCTCCCCAGGCCATTCAACCCCGGGAAGCCCTCCCTGCCAGGGTTCTGGAGCTTTCCACCTGGTAAACTCTGTTGAGCTGAGAGGCACCGGAGCAGTGTCAGGAGGTGCCAGGCCGCGCAGGGACCTTCCTGGAGGAGGGGGAAGATGTTTGCTCAAAGCGGGCAAAAGAGTCACCCCAGGTCCCAGCCAGTGGAGCTAGGGTCAGGGTCCAGGCCTCCTCCTGGCTCCCCCCAGCCCTCGACTGCTTCGGGTCAGAGCTGTAGGGGGGACGGTCTCTGAGAGCCGGAGTTTCTGAGAGGGGAGAACAAGACCCAAGTGTCATGGGGACAGGTGGCACACGTTGATTGGATATGTCCCCGCACTGTGCCCACGGGCTGATTAGGTGGCCACGCTGGGGTCAGTTCTAGTGATGGGATCAGGCAACCAGCAGCAAAGATCAAAGGGTCAAGGTGATTTCAGAGGACAAGTCCAGTGAGGAGAGAAAACTGGGCGACGTGGCAGAGGAGCAGGGAGGGACCGGGCTGCTCCTCTAACCCGGTGGCAGCACAGGGGCTGGAGGGCTGAGGAGCTTGACAGTGACCAGAGGAGGGGCCAGCTGGGAAATCCCCGGCAGAGGGGGGCAGCGTGTGGCCAACTGACCTCGTCCCCCTCCTTCCCCCGCAGCCAAGCGCCCGGCGCCAGCCAGGCCCACCATGCCACCTCCACAGCTCTCTGCCACCCGCTCCTCCCCGCCAGCCCCGCCCGTGTCCCCTGGCTCCAGCAGCCCTGTGACACCCCGAGCTCTGCCCCGCCGTCTGGTGGGTAGCAGCCTCCGGGCCCCCACTGTGCCACCCCCGTTGCCCCCTGTCCCCCCTCAGCCAGCCCGGCGCCAGAGCCGGCGTTCACCACCCTCTCCTGGCCTGGCCTCCCCGGGGCCAGCCTCCCCTGACCCAGTCTCCATGAGTCTGCCTGCACAGGTGGACCTGGGGGCCACCACAGGGGACAGAGGAGTCCCTGAGGCTGCAGCTGCGGCCCCCACTCCCCCAGCTGTGCCCCCTCAGCCCCGGCCCAGGGGCCTAGCCTCGGAGACCGATTGAGCAGGCAGCTCCTCTCTGGCTAGCCCTCCGCGTCCCCTCCATGTCCCCTCCCGCCTGGACCTCCCAGGACAGCCTTGCCCCTCCCAAGGAGTAGCAACCTCCAGCTTCCCCCCACAAGTGCCTTTGTGCCCACTGGGTCACCCCCACGGCCAGGAGGGCTCAGGACAGTCCTCCACGAAATTGCCTTTTCCTTGTCCAGCCTGGACCACCCCGACTCCTCACTCTCTGGCAGGGTCCCAGGGAAGCCACCAGAAGGAAGGACAGGCTTGCCTGCTCATGAGACTTATTTTTCTCTTGCCAATATATTTTTTATAAGGCTGGTCAATAAATTATTTTGGATAAAACTGGAGCCCTGCCCTAATGATAGTTTTTATTTTTTGTCCTCAAAATAAAGAAGCCACTTTATAAAGGGAAGAATGACATGTCCCTTGGCTCCCTTCTTCCTTCCAGTCTGAAACGCTAGCAGCCAGCGCGAGAGCTTCCTCCGAAGCTGCGCCCGCCCCTGCTGTGCTTCTCTGTGCAGGTTCTGTTCAATCCCCCAGGGGAGTGGATGCCCTTAGCTCCTGCAGGGGAGGAGATTGAGGCTGGAAATAAGTGACTGCTAAGGTCACGCAGCCAGGCGCGGGCCTGGGACCGGAATGAGGTCTGACGATTCCCCACAGCTGCGCAGTTCACTCAACTTCCCGGGAACACTGATTCCTGGTAAGAGACAGTCCCACCACGATGGTGGTGTTCTGAGGGTCGGGGGACGCTCCTGTGAGCACCAAGCACCACCTTGTGCACAGACATGCCTGGCAGTGCTGGCTGCTGCTACTGCATTTCCCCACCCCGGGCCACGGGGGGCAGGCAGGGCTCCCCAGGAGCAGGAAGGAATCCTTCACAACCTTCCCAAGGCTGCTGTGTGGCCGGCCTGCGCTGGCTCCCCAAGTCAGGCCTGCACCCAGGAGCCTGTGTTAGTAGCCTAGTTAGGGGGGACCCCCAACAGACCCTGAGGTGTGTTCATGGGAGGGTTCATCAAGGAAGAATTCCTGGGGGAGGCAGCATCTAAGGAGAGTCCTCCAGGAGCCAGGCAGGTGAGCAAGTCGAGGAAGAGGAGAAACATTCCAGGCAAAGGTCAGAGGCCAAAGGCCCAGGGCACTGGGGAATAGAAAGTAGGGGGGACTAGGGGGTGAGGGGAAGAAAGGGTTAAGCCTCCAGTGGACACAGTGGCCCACACCTCTAATCCCAGCTACTCAGGAGGCTGAGGCAGGAGGATCGCAAGTTTGAGACCAGACAAGAATGGGATCGTAATTAGAATAAGATATACTCCATGTATGTATAATATGTCAAAATACACTGCCATGTGTACCTAAAAAGAACACATTTGTTAAAAGAAAAAAAAAGTTTTGAGGCCAGCCTCAACAGTTTAGCACCCACAGCAATTTAGTGAGACCCTGTCTCAAAATAAAAAATAAAATGGGCTGGGGGCTTCCCTAAATTCATTCCCCAGTACCAAAAATAGATTGGTCTGGGGTTGTGGCTCAGCAATAGAGCGCTTGCCTAACAAGTGCAAGGCCATGGGTTCCATACTCAGCACCACATGAAAATAAAATAGGGCTGGGGTTGTGGCTCAGCAGTAAAGTGCTCGCCTAGCTCGTGCAAGGCCCTGGGTTCCATCCTCAGCACCACATACAATGAATAAAATAAAAGTATTGTGTCCAACTACAACTAAAAAAAATAGTATAAATAAAATAAAGTTTTGTGTCCAACTACAACTTAAAAAATAAATATATATTTTTAAATAAACTAAATAATTAAAAAGTCATCGAACTGCCAGACACAGTGGCTCACACCTGTAATCCCAATTACAGGAGAGGCTGAGGCACGATGGCAAACTCGAGGCCAGCCTTGGAAACTTGGTGAGACCTTGCCTCAAAATAAAATTTTAGCTGGGCGCAGTGGTGCTGTTGTAGGGACAGACGAGGCAGGGCACCCAAGACAGCAGGAAACAGTTTTATTTGGCTGCAGCCAGCTTCAGAGGGCACAGCTTTTGCTGTAATCAGTCAAGCCCCTGAACCCCGAGTTCAGGGAGTTTCAGAGTTTTATCCCCAGCGTGTAAGGGGAGGGGCTCAGAAGCTCACAGTCTGCAGAAGTTCACATAAAAGCAGCTTTTTCTTTCACTGTTCTGGGCTAGTTAACCCTTCGAGGACAACACCTGAGAAGGGGAGAGCTTCTTCTCCCCTCTCTTTCCTCCCCTGCCAGCTGTCACCATGGAGCCCAGTTGTAACTTATCTTAACAATGTAGACAGCTCTGTGAAGCCCAGCTCAAGGCCAGAGGCCTGGTTTGCACATTCCTACAAACTACTATATTGGATACATGTTTGTGAAAAACTAGTCAGGGAGTGTCCAGCACCTGGAGTGCTGGTATCTTCTCGGCCAGTGGCCAAGTAAACAGGGCGAGGCGAAAATAGGAAGTTTATCTACATTGGACTCTTTCGCAGGGATTCTTTTGCTGACAGTCCTAAAATCAGCCATGGTGAAGAGGGCTTTTCTGTGGAGCAAGGGGGTGCCACTTCAGTGCATGCCTGTAATCCCAGCAGCTCAGGAGGCTGAGGCAGGAGGACCATAAACTTAAAGCCAGCCTCAACAAAAGCAAGGCACTAAACAACTCAGTGAGATTCTGTTTCTAAATAAAATACAAAATAGGGCTGGGGATGTGGTTCAGTGGTGGAGTGCCTCTGAGTTCAATCCCTGGAACTCTCCCAAAATAACATAAAATAATATAAAAAATTAAAAAAGGAGCCAGGGGTATACTTCAGTGGCAGAGTGTTTGCATAGCATGCGAGAGCCTTGGGGTTCACTCCTAACTCCTCCCCCCACCGCCAGCCAAAAAAAAAAAAAAAGCATCGAACTGACATTTCAGGCCTTAAGCATCTTATCAGATGTAAATTACACCTAAAAAAATAATAAGTTTCCCAGGGGACTCTACAGCACGGCCAGCATGGAGAACCACTGGCCTAAACTAAGGCTCCCCGCGTCTAAGACACCATGTGCCTCTTGTCCCAACATTTTTCTCAGGATTTGCTTAGAATTGGACCACGGTCCAGAGGTCAGTGAGATTCGAGCCCAAAACGTCTCTCCTAGCATCTGTTTTCCTCCTAGCAACCACTTCTCCTAAGCTTGTGATTGGCTGGCGACGGTGAGGCTTCTTTGCTCCGCCTCTTCTCTTCATAGCTCCTTATTTGTTAGAACGAGCATCCGTCTCCCAGCCTCCCACCCCTTTAAAGGAGCAAGTGGGAGTTGAAACTAGCCTCCACTAACCCAGCAGAGCGAGGGGGCGGGGCTAAGGGCCAAGCCGGTTTTTCATTGGTGCCCTCCTCTCGGTGGCGGCAGCAGTGCCGCCCCTTTCTCCAAGTTCTGTACGCTAGCGGCCGCGCTCCTCTCGAACACTCTTGCTCCCATTGGCCGCAGGCCAAGCCAAGACCCCGCCCCCTGCCCTTCCAGCGCACTGATTGGCCTGCACTTCGGGCGAGCGCGCCGTGCCCGCGGAGGGAGAGCGGCCCGGGCGTGCAGGCAGCCAGCCGGCTGCATGGCGCGCTGCGAGCGGCTGCGCGGCGCGGCCCTGCGCGACGTGCTGGGTCGGACGCAGGGGGTCCTGTTCGACTGCGACGGGGTGCTGTGGAATGGCGAGCGCGCCGTGCCGGGAGCTCAGGAGCTGGTGGAGCGGCTGTCGCGGGCCGGCAAGGCGGCGCTGTTCGTGAGCAACAACAGCCGGCGCGCGCGGCCCGAGCTGGCTCTCCGCTTCGCGCGCCTGGGATTCGGGGGGCTACGCGCTGAGCAGCTCTTCAGCTCCGCGCTGTGCGCAGCGCGTCTGTTGCGCCAGCGTCTGCCCGGGCCGCCGGACGCGCAGGGCGTCGTGTTCGTGCTCGGAGGCGAGGGGCTACGTGCCGAGCTGCGCGCCGCGGGGCTGCGCCTGGCAGGGGACCCCGGCGACGACCCGGGCGTGGAGGGCGGCGCGGCCACGCGCGTGCGCGCCGTGCTCGTGGGCTACGACGAGCACTTCTCCTTCGCCAAGCTGAGCGAAGCGTGCGCGCACCTGCGCGACCCTGAGTGCCTCCTCGTGGCCACCGACCGCGACCCTTGGCATCCGCTTAGCGACGGCAGCCGGACCCCGGGTGAGCGCAGAGCTGGCAGGGAAACAGGTGGAGGGGTGACCACCCACCCCTGGGGGCGGGTACAGGTGGCCAACAGGAGAGATTCGAAGGAAGCCCCCACGCAGCAAGAGCCCAGGGTGCTTTGTGTCCGCACCTGGTAATTCCTACCTGAGAGGGGCAGTGATGGGGTCCCTGTTTGATGATAAGCCCAGGGAGTTAGTTAGATAAGCAGGTGGAATCCAGGTGTCCTGGACTTCCGGAACTAGCCTCCTGGGCTCCTGTCATTCTTGCCTTATCCACCATGGGTTCGGGTTTGGAGAAACCTGGAAAGATCGTCTCCTCCCCCCACCCCCGTGGGAGGGTGGGAATAGCATTCCCAGAGGCAGGCTAAGGCAGGTGTGTGGACAGCAGGCAGGTGGAGTGTGACCTGACTTCCAGCTCCATTTGTACGCTGTGTAATCTCTTTGGGTTACATAAGCTCTAGGAGGCTGCCTGGGTGCAGAATGGAAATGCCGGCCACGGCCAGTTACACCTGAGGGAACAGTGATGCAGGGGGAGTGACTGGCACCTAGTAGTTGGTCAGATGGTGCCTGTTGTAGCCGAGTCCTCCCACGTGTGAGGAGCTTCATGAAGCACATTGAAGTCTGTTTTCATTTGATTTACAAATTATTCCAGAGATGGGAGGATCATCCCCCTTGCATTTTTTGATACCAGGGATTGAGCCCAGGGCCACCGAGCCACATCCCCAGCCCTTTTTTGTATTTTATTTAGAGGCAAGGTCGTCTTGCTGAGTTGCTTAGGGCCTTGCTAAGCTGCTGAGGCTGGCTTTGAACTTACGATCCTCCTGCCTCAGCCTCCCGAGCTACTGGGATTACAGGTGTGCGCCACCACACCCAGCTTGTCCCATTTCTTAATTAAACCGAGGCAAAGAGAAGTCCAGGCAGAGCCAGAACAGGCCCAAGTCATAGACTCCCTCTGAAAAAGTGAGCTGCCCAAGAGGACACCATAAGTTGGTGACAGAGCCAGGGAACCCGGACTTGGCTCTGGTGATACACCCCGTCCAGAGCGCTCTTCCCTGCTGTCTTCTTGGGTGCTCCACCCTTCCCTGCTGTCTTCTTGGGTGCTCCACCCTTCCCTGCCTCTCTGGGGGTCCCTGCCCCAGACAGTCCTTGATACCATATCCTGGGGGCAGAGTAGTATTGAATGCGGGGAGTAG